AGCCTCAAGCTATCCCCCTGGGTAGAGTGCTATGGCATCACAGCTCACAGCAACCTCCAACTCCTGGGCTCAAGTGAGTCTCCTGCCTCAGCCTCCACAGTAGCTGGGACTACAGGTGCCCGCCACAACGCCTGGCTATTTTTTGGTTGCAGCTGTCATTGTTGTTTGGCGGGCCCGGGCTGGATTTGAACCAGCCACACCTTAGGTGTACGTGGCTAGCACCTTAGCCACTTGAGCCACAGGCGCCGGGCCTGCATAGATCTTTTACACTAAGGATTTAGGAATTGGAGCTGTGTGCTGTGAAAATAAGCCTCAAAAAGAAACCTGTAAGGTGACCAGCCATCTGACCTGCAGTCAGTCCGGTGAGTACATCCATGCCCTGATTTCCCGCACTACACACATGCTATACACCTTCCTCTCTCTCACACATAGGAAGAAAAATTATAAAAAAGACTATGGCTTAGCTATATTTCTTATTTGAACAAAGAGATGAAGAATCTTAACTCTTTTAAATTGACAACAGGAGTTTCCTTCCCCCAAACCCACCCTCCAACATTTGGGGCAAGTGCACATGTTTTAATTTGGGGTCGATCATACAGTAGAGAAAATGTCCTAAACGTTGAACCTGGTTCTTCCTACCCAATGACCAAGAAGACCAAATCCTCCTGCAGGTGTGCCCCAGCCATCAGGCCCCACCCTCCCGGATCTTAATGGTTTATGCACATGTGTACACACAAGCACATGGACACACACCTCCCACTTGGGCACATACATCCTTATGTACACAGACAGGGAAGAAAACACCACCAGGATCATTTATAGGTGTTTCAATAGCTCTGTTTGTTATGTCTGCTATAAAAGCCCTGCCCAGTGCAGACTTTCTGGGTTTCATCAGTGAGGACCTGTCTCATACACACTGTATGCTCCAGGTCATGGTTGCAGGTGGCCTCCTGAATCATTCAATACAAGGTGCTCAGGGATGGAACTTCAGTCTCATCAGGTGTGTGGGAACCCCTGAAGGAGCCCATTTCCACTGGCAAAGCCATTATTCTGCCTGCCTATTTCCTATTCACCTTATCTTGCAAGGTCTCCTTTTAGGTCAAATTTAATGGACACATACAGGGTGTACATAAAATTTGTGTGCAATATACTATGTTAAACTAGTTTAAATTGCACACAAACTTTGTCCACCTTGAGTATATAACTCTTTATTATGCAATAGGTGCCGATTTAAGTATTTTTAAAGTATTAACTCATTTCATCTAACGCATTTCATCCTCTTGATAGTCCTCTAAGGTAAGTACAATTATTATCCATTTTACAGATGGGGAAACCAAGGCACAGCGAGGTGAAGTAGCCTGCCCAAAGTCACACAGCTAGCATGTGGTGAAACTAGGGTGTGAACCCAGGCAACTGAATTCCAGGCTCCCTGCTCCCCACTCTAAACCCTTTGCTGCCTCTTGGCAGCTTCTTCCTGAAACCTGAGGCTCCGGACCCCTCTCCAGAAATTCCAACAAGTTGAGCTGAAAGTTTTACCTGATTGGTGGTGGGTGTGGGAGGCAGGCGGGAATCTAGCTAGCATCACTCCCCAGAGTCTGGCATGGGTGACCAGGCAGGCAGGGGAACTGAGGTGGAGAGGGATGAGGAGGGGGATCGGGTTGGGGACAATGTGAGAGACTTGGTTTGTGACTCTGGCTTTGCAGTGGGCTTGTGGGACATGGAAGAGGAAGTATCCAGCTAGATTATGGGGCTGGGGCTCAGAAGAGAGATTGGTGGGGAACATCCTTGGAGAGTTGGGATCCTTAGTATAAAGGATGGTAGCAGGGACAGGGCTGGAAGAAGGCAGTACTTCCCCACTCTCCATTCTGCTGCCACCCCAAGAGCCAAATGAGCAGAGGCGCCAGCCTTTGGGAGGAAGGCTTGGGCTCTACACTGCTGGCAGAAGGGACTGTCCCCCAGGTCTGAGGGCTGGTGGGAGACAGGAAAGGGGCAGGCACACTCAGAAGGAGAAAATCTTGCAGTCCTGCAGCCCTACACTTTACATGAGGAACTTGTGTCATTAAGGCTCTTTCAAGCAAAGGAGATTGAGTCGGCTGCTTAGACAGAAGGAAAGACTGACAGATGGCAGCTGAGGGGTCTCTTCATCTGCTTCCAGAGCTGTGCTGAGCTAAGTTGGCCCCCTGGTAGGCAATGACTTCAAGAGGTCACTGAGTCCCATCCAGACAAACAGACACTCCCCCCTCCACTCCTGACTGCCTCAGTTAGATCCCCCCTGATGTCCCACCATTTCAGGGCTCATTCCTTTTAGCTCTTGATATTTGGGGGGCCCCCTGACAAAGGCAAGACACTTCTGGGCATTTATGCCCCTTTGTTCCCCCCACCCCACCCCCAACTGACTGAGAGGAAGCAGCCTCTCCTCCTCTGACTTATTAGGCTGTGCTAGTGTCCTTAGGTTTCTGGTGGCTTCTGAGCTTGGCTTCTTAGGTGGTGGATATTTACATATGCACACTGGGGTAGGGAAGGACACTGTGGGGCCAGGCTGCAGGGCCAACCATGGGGCTCAGGGCTCTGATCCCTCTCCTTTGGAATTCCAACAACTCAAGCTGTGAGTTCTATCTCGGGTCTAACCCCAACAGGCTCCCTGGCCATCTCTTGCTCACCAGCTGGTAGAAGGTGACATGAGGTCCTTCGGCATCATACAGGAACCACCAGGTGGCAGCAGCCACTGTGGCCAGGCCTACGTACACTGCAGAGAGGGGAGGAGGAGACCGGCTATAGTGGACAATAGAAAGTTTCTGGCATCCACTTCCCTTTCCCAACAATTTCATGAATTCCCATCATGGAATCAGCCCCCTCTCTCTAAGCTATATGGTGTGCAGGCACCTACCCTTACTACCAGTGGTGGGCCCTGATTGGCAACCAGCACCTGCCACACACCCTTGGCCACAGGGATTGGCTAGGGAGATAAACAGGTGACCCAATTTGGACCAATGAGAATAGGCTGAGAAGAGAGCTGCATGACAAAAGGCTCTCTCTTCTGCTCAGTTTGAGGTTGTAATGGAGTGAGCATGAGGGCTGGAGCTGTAGCAACCATTCTGTCACCCTAAGGGGTGCCTCTTTGAGAATGAAGCTGAGGCAGAGCCAAAATATGCCAATGATACTGTCTGAGGCCTGGATCCAGCCTAAGGTATGCTCTAGTCTTGTCAGTTACATGAGCCCACACAGTTCCTTTGGCATAAGCCAAGCTGGGTCATACACTCTGTAGTTTGCCCGTCTGACACAAGGTTCTTAGAAAACCCACAGAGAGCTGGGGCCCTGCTTACCTCCAATAGCCAGATATCTGAAGAAGAGCCAGCCACTGATGAGGGCCTCATGGGGGTTCCGGGGCAGCTTCTCCATGATGTCTAAATCTGGTGGGTTGAAGCCCAGGGCTGTGGCAGGTAGGCCGTCTGTCACTAGGTTGACCCAGAGCAGCTGCACAGGGATCAGAGCTTCGGGCAGGCCCAGAATTGCTGTGAGGAAGATGCTGGAACCAGAGTCATGGGCTCTAGCCCCCAGCAGGCCCGGCCCCCACCAGATGGAGGGTCCAACTCTTGCTCATACCCCAGACCTGTGAAATCACTCTGTATCTCCAAAGCAGTCCCTCCTCTTTTTGCTAGTTCTGATATACATGAGGGGTGTGTGTACATCGTTCTGCTTCAGTCCCTGTCAGCGCTGCCTTCCCCAGTGCCAGCTCTTCCCCAGACCCTGGACACATTTGCTCTTTAGGCCTAGCAGATGCCAAGTACACATACATACACATGAATAGGGCATGCCCAAGCATCAGACATGTGCGAAATCCTAGCACATGCCACACAATCCCACAAACGTGAGCAAACACCTACATTTTTGCCCTGATGTGCACAGATGCAGAATCCACGTTTGCTAAACCATTCCCCACAGGCATCTCTCACTCATGAACGTGAGCATGTACACAGTTACATGCTGACGCAATCCTTCTGTTTGTACTCATGCCCAAAGAGGCACAAAAGCACACACAAACATGTGTACACATACCTCTCAGGCACACGCACATGTGCACATATATACACCTTAACACACATACACACACAGACATACTATAGCTTAAAGGTGGGGCTAGTTCTTCTTATCTCTTCAGTCTGAAAGAGGGAAGAAGCTTATGGCTGGAGGGAGGACAGGTGACTCTTTGGGTACCTCCCTGGGTGTGGGGGGCACTATGATCCACAGGTCACCAGGGTCTCTGGAGAATGAAGAGATGTCCTCACCCTTGGAAGACCCCAGCTAGTGCAGGGCATATGTGCCTCCATTCCCACAGCCCTACCCTAGGAACAGGAATTTTCTCCATCTCAGGGATAAAAAGCTGGTCCAAAAGGCTGGGAGGAGGGGACATAGAGCCTCACCAGACAACCTCGCCAACGTTGGAGGAGATGAGGTAGCGGATGAATTGCTTCATGTTGTTGTAGATGGCCCGGCCCTCCTCCACCGCAGCCACGATTGAGGCAAAGTTGTCATCTGACAGCACCATCTCTGCCGCTGACTTGGCCACAGCAGTGCCTGAGCCCATAGCAATGCCGATTTCTGCTTTCTTCAGAGCTGGTGCATCGTTCACCCCATCACCAGTCTGTGGGCCGGGTCATGGAGAGCCAGGTCAGGGAGGCTGAGAAGCCTCCCTTTCCTTCCCCAGCCACCTTTACTCAGCACATCCCCAATTTGGGGGGATGTCCCCAAGGAAGCAGACAGCTGGACAGAACAAACAGTAGGTTCAAAAATGAACTTAGATATTGGGCCCAGGATGAGGTTAAGGGGAAGGCAAGGAGTGTGGTCAAAAGCAAAGCTGGGGAGAGTCTCTAGTCAGAGAAGATGATACGATGGGATGAGGTAAGAGGGTGGGAGAATGATGAGGGTAGGGATGAAATTCAGGTTGGACATGGGGCAGAAGATGAGGCTGACGTTAAAAGATGAAGCTGAGGTCAAGTCAGGGATGAAGCCAAGGCTATGGTCCAGGTCAGGGGCCAGGGGGATGCTGCTGCCAAGGTGAAGGTCAAGTCATGGTTATTGTCCACATAAGCAGTGATAGCAAAGTCAAGGCAGGATGCCAGATGGAAGTTGAGATCAATATAAAGTATTTTGTTGGGAGGAAGTTGTCAAGGTTGATGTCAAGGATCAGATCTGGGTCCAGGTCAAGACTGGACCCATATCAGGGTTAAATTCAGAGTAAAGAATTAGAGTAAAATGAAAGTCAGTATCAAGATCAGGGGCAAAGTCAGCACAGAGGTCAAAGATAAGGTCAAGAGCCAGGCTGCAGGTGTAGTCAAGTCAAGGTTGGTATTCAGGTAAAGCCTGGGCCAGAGGTCAGGGTTAAGGTCAAGGTAAAGGATGGGGGTCAAGATTTATAGAGGCCAGGTCTGGGGTAAAGTTGAGGTTAAGAATCAGATCAGCAATCAAGAAAAACAGGTCAGCAATCAAAAATGAGACAGATGGCTGGACATGGTGGTTTATGCCTATAATCCTAGCACTCTGGGAGGCTGAGGCAGGTAGACTGTGTGAGCTCAGGAGTTCAAGAGCAACCTGAGCAAGAGTGAGACTCTATCTCTATCGAAAATGGAAAAATTAGCCAAGCGTTGTGGCAGCGCCTGTAGTCCCAGCTACATGGGAGGCTGAGGTAAGGGGAACACATGAGCCCAAGAGTTTGAAGTTGTGAGTGAGGCACAGAGTGAGACTCTGTCTCGAAGAAAGGAAAAAAAAAAAAAGAATGAGACAGATGGAAAACTGGGCCCACACCAAATGTCCATCCAAAAACAAATGGATAAACAAATAGTGGCACATCATACAGTGAAGTGCTGTACATGCTGCTCAACAATAGCAGAGCAATACTCCACGGACACCTGCAACAATGCAGACAAGCCTCAAAAGAAGGAAACCAGACTACATGCTGTGTAGACTTTCATATGAAAGTCTAAGACAAGGAAAAATAATGTACGGTAAAAAAAATACATTGAGGAAGTGCTGTGGGGGAACTTCATGGGTTCATGGTAATGTTTCATATCTTGATGTGAATGATAAGGATGTGAATTACACAGTTGTGTGTGCATGTTACTAATTCATCAAATGATACATTTAAGATTCGTTTCATCCAAATGCAATTTTACCTCAAAAAGAAGAAAGAAAACCACAGACAAAATCTCTTTCTAGTAGTGATATGCATTGTAAACTATATAAGGGTGAAATGTACTGATGTCTGCAGCTTATTTTGAAATACATTTTAAGAAGAGATGGATTAAGGATGGATACAGGATGAAAGAAAATACAGAGTGTCTGTAAAGGTTGTGTGCAATTTAATTATACACCCTGTATAATCAAATGTTAACTGGAGAATCTATGATAGATATACAGGTGTTCAGCATAAAATTATTTCAATTTTTCTTTGTATTTGAAATGTTTCATAATGTTAGAAAAAATAAAAATAAGGCAGAGGGTGGGTTGCATGGGTTGCTCTCTCTGTGCCCTGTGGCCCCACTCCTCATCACCTCCCCAGGCTCCAGTCTGTGGCCTCACCATGGCGGTGATCTCATTAAAGGACTGCAGGTTCTCCACAATGCGGGACTTGTGCGCGGGCTCCACACGGGCGAAGCAGCAGGCGGTGCGGCAGGCTTGGCGCTGCTGCTCAGGGCTGAGGTCATCAAATTCGCGGCCTGTGTAGGCCTTGCCCTCCACATCCTCCATGTCCCCAAAGATGCCGAGCCGTCGGCAGATGGCCACAGCCGTGCCTTTGTTATCCCCTGTGATCATGACCACTCGGATGCCCGCCTGGTGGCAGCGTGTGATACAGGCAGCTACCTCGGGCCTCGGAGGGTCCAGCATGCCCACGCAGCCCACGAAGGTCAGGTCTGTCTGTGGAAGGGAACAGATGCAAGCAGGGCCTGAATCCGTCCTTGACCCGCTGCCTGCCCAACTGCTGCAGGGGACGCCAGGCTCCTGTACCCACCTCGTACTGCACAAATGTGCTGCAGTCGTCCAGCTGCATGTCCTCCTTCCTCGGCGGTGTGTCCCGGGTAGCCAGTGCTAGGCAGCGCAGTGTGTCTGAGCCGGAGCCCCAATCCCGGATCTTCGCCAGGATCTGCTCCCTGGAGGTGGTGGTCAGGGGGACGGTGCGGTTCCCCACACGGACGGAGCTACAGCGCTCAATCACACTCTCGGGAGCCCCCTGTGAAGTGGGGAAAGGAAGAGAGGACGCAACTTCATCAGTCAGGACCTTACCCAAATTGAGGAAACTGAGACCAGGATACGGGGTAAGGCCACCCAAGGGTCTACACAACAAGGCACGGACCAGAATCCATTCTTTGAAAGCTTAAGTGGGAACAAAGTGGACCTTACTGTAAGAAAACCCAAAGGGAATGGGGGTTGGCAGAACAGCCACCCACCAAGGGCTGCCCTCCCCCCATCAGCCCACAGCTGAGTAAGCCTGCCACAGCATTTAGGGGTGGCAAGGATGTCCCCATAGCCCCTGCCTCCCTGCCTGGTTGGCACTCCCCAGATACCAATGCTATAGAGGCCTCAGCAATAGGAGGCAGACTGAGCCCTAAGCGGGGGCCAGAAAGACAGCCATGCAGAGGGTGTGTTGGGTGCAGCCTGGGAAGGTGGGCTTGAGGGGGTGACAGGGTCCTTAGCAGCTACAGGGTCTCACTTTGGACCTCACCTCAGCCCCAAGAATAGCCTCTGAATGCTCCTGCCATAGCTTCTGCTCCCAAAAGGTCACCCAGACTTTTCAAAAGTGGCCCAAGCCCCCAATACAGAAACTTTTTGTTTCAAAAAGGGTTCTTGCTTCAGGTTTGAAAGCAGCAATGAGACTGGACTGGGGTTGGTTTTTCCCTCCCTGGGATTCAGTTTCTAAAACGTGGAGCACCAAGGGTGGGCACCAACCACCGCTAAACCACCAATCAGAGACAATGGGGATATCGTGCCCTTACAGGAACATGAATGATTCCAAGGTCATATGGCAAGACATTGACCCTCTGCCCAAAGCTGGGAATAAGGCCAGGGGCAGGCCTCTGTCCCCCTGGGTCTGGCTTATCTCCACTGAGCCTGGATCCACCTCCCAGTTCCCCGCAGCATGCTGAACACCCCCACTCTGGATTCATCACTTTGAAAATGGGCCTCACGCCTCCCTTAGTCTCCCACAGCTCAAGGCTCTGGTGTTTCAAAGGACTGAGATCAGATTCCCCAAGGCCCTTGGATGTACAGGGGCCCCCAGCCAAACAGGCAGGCCCCCACCTTCACAAACATCTTGCTACCAGGGCCGGTGGGGTCAGGGCGAGTGGGAGTGCAGTACACCGACATGGACTTCCGGTCTCGGGAGAACTCGAGAGTAAACTCCTTCCGCATCAGCTGCTTGATGACCTGTGGGGTCCAAGAAATTCAGGGTACAAGGACAGAGCTGGTAACCCTTGCCTGCTTTCTCACCAGCCACTAGGCCCTACAAAGAGACTCTTGTCCTCTGTGGTGGGATATCTGTTCTCCCCTATCATTGGCATTTGCGGCCTCTACTTCCCCTTTTCCCTCCATCTCACCAGTAAGTTATCTGGGCAGACTGTATGTACCTCAACTTTAAGTCCTTGTCCACACTTAGCCTTTTCTGCTTTTTTCTCCTTAGTAAAGCGTCACTAGGGGTTTGAGGTCCTTCCCCCTCCCAGAAGCTTCCCAGGACTTTGCTCTCCTCTCTTCTTCTCCAGAAGCCCCTGAGTGCCCCAGCCCTGCTCACTGCATTGCAGGCGCCAGCTCGCTCCACCCGGGACAGGGTCTGCAGGTCGGTGTCGAACACATTCATCTTCTCCACCAGGCAAGTCAGAGCCGTCTCTGTGGCCTCTCCCACCTTCTCATATATGCCCTTAGCCTGGCAGGACCAGGGGATAGAGCGTAAGGGGCAGGTGGTCCCCAGCTGGTCTTTCCATCTTCTCTCACTCCTTGCCCCAGGAGCTCCTTGTAACCTCCTTTGTAAAGGCCTTCGAGATCTTCTCAGCCCAAATGACCTAGGGTTTGGGTGGTGTCTGACACCAACATTCACTCCTTACCTCAACCCCTGGGGTCAAAGCTGCCCTCCACAACCCTTTCTGTCACCCCTTCTGAACCACCTTCACTAGGTCCTTAGGTCTGGATTCATCACTTTGAAAATGGGCCTCACACCTCTCTTAGTCTCCCACAGATCAAGGCCCTGCTCTGTTCCTCCCTCCTGCTCTTCTTGAGGACCCACGTATCTTCTGCCTCCATCTGCTTTCACATCCTCATGACCACCAGCGCCCAGGCTAACCAAGACCTCTCTCCTGAACTCCAAACCCACATGTCCAACTGTTGCCTACTGGACCTTGTTCCCCAGGGACCCTTTGGACCACCTCCTTCTGTCCCCATGTTCGCCACTCCAGGGATAATCCCAGCTGGAAGAGCAACCAGGAGTTACCCGGCCCTCTTGCCCATTTCACCTAATCAGTCAACAAGTCCCAGGATTTTTAGCTCCTAAATCTCTCTAATCCATGCCTTCTCCCCTTTCCCCAAGGCCCCAGCTGGGGCTCAGTCAGCATCTCTCTGGCCTGGACAACCACATAGGGCTGCCTGGGTCCTGTCTTGTCCTGTCTGTTCTATCCTCCACCCAGAAGCCTGGGTGATCCTTTGCAAATCTGACTGCATCACTCTTCTGCTCAAACCCTTTGATGGCCAGACTTGGTCAGGCCAAGCCCTCGGGCAGTAGACTCCATCCCAATGCTCCAGCCACGTGAAGGGCATTCAATGCCCAAATCACATCAGGCTTCTGCAGACTGTGGGCCTCTTCTGAGCTGCAACTTCAGCTTTAAACATTCTCCCTAGTCCTGCCCTCCAATCTCTTCCCTCAGGCAGCCCTGGCCCTTGCACTGCAGTCCCCCACAGCCCACAAGCCTAAAGGGCAAGGTTCTGAAGCCAGTCAGAAGAGCAGAAAGGGGTGGCAGTCTGGGGTGCTCCTACGTGACCATTCTGGGGTGTGGGATTCCCAAGGGCAAGGACCACCAACAACCCTGGGAGCTTTGAGAGTGGAGAAAAGTCTGTCCTGAGCGCCTGGATACTAGAAAGGTCACGAAACGGAGTGGAGCCCACCTCATTGTAGTCCAGCGCCGAGTCATTGCACAGGGCGCAGATGGTTGCCAGCTCCACCAGTCCATCGAACTGCCCACAGCGCACGGGCTGCTCCCCTTGCCGCCTGCAGAGCCCAGGGCAGTCAATGCGAGAGCCCAGACCCCGCCCTGGGAGGGGCTCAGCCTCTCCGCCCCGCCCTCAGGCCGCTCTAACACCTCCTTAGTCACACATGGCCCCGCCCACCGGCCAGCCCCGCCCCCTTGCCTGCACTCACACTTCGCCCTCTGGGGCGTACGTGGTACCAGAGATGGTGAACTCGTGCAAACGGCAGGAGTCTGCTTCCGCTTCGGCTACCACGAACATCTGGGGAGCACAGGGGCATGCTCAGGTCGACCCGGTTGCCTCCCTCCTCCCTGGGCTGTCAGTTTGAATAAAGCCTGACCCCAAGGTTGGGTCCTGCGGGCCCCCTCCAGAAGGGAAGCAGAGTACAGGGCCCAGGCTGAGGTGTGTGGGGACTGCCTGCTCTGCCCACTTGTGTCCAGTTCTGGTTTATCCATTTGAACTGGACTCCCAGGGGATTTAAAGCAAGTTCTTCAATGCTCTGGGGGCAGCTGCCAGCTTGAGGGAGCTCTGAGCTGGGCAGGAAGCCTGGGTTCCTGCCCACCTCACTGTGACACCTGGCCAAGCCTCAGATTCTCTATTTGGACCAAGGGGAGAATGCAAGCTCAGAGTCTATCTCCCTCTCCTTCAAGAGGACGAGTTCCTGGTCTTTAAGGAAAGAAACCCACACCTTTCTCGGAGGTGCAATCCTCCAGTCCAGAGACATCCCCAGAGAGTAAGCCCCTGCCCTTTAGGCCTGCTGAGTCACCCGGCCCTTCTCCTGTGCACATCAGGCACAAGGGGCTCACCCCTGCCAAGGCAGCCCATTTCCTTGTTTTGCTAAGGAGCCAGTTCTTGATTCTGCTTGAAACTGTTATTCTCCCTGCTCCTGGGGGCAGTCCTCCAGTGAGTATATTCCATTATCCAGCATGTAAGGCCTCTATGACTTCTTTGTACTCTACTTTTAGAACCTTCACTTTTTTATTTTTTAATTTAATTTAATTTTTTGAGACAGAGTCTCACTATGTTGCCCTCAGTAGAGTGCCATGGCATCACAGTTCACAGCAACCTTAAACTCTTGGACTTAAGCAATTCTCTTGCCTCAGCCTCCCAAGTAGCTGGGACTATAGCTATAGGTGCCCGCCACAATGGCCAGCTATTTTTGGTTGCAGTTGCCATTGTTGTTTAGCTGGCCCGGGCTGGGTTGAAACCCGTCAGCCACAGTATATGCGGCTGGCGCTGTAACCACTGTGCTATGGGCACCAACCTTCACTTTTTTAAATGTAAATTTTATCTTTTTTCGATATTTTGTCCAGCTATGTTGCCCAGGCTGGATTTGAACTCCTGGGCACGTGATCCCTCCACCCCGCATCTCATCACTCCAAGTAGTCAGGACTACAAGCATGAACTTCTATGTCTGGCTTAAATCTTTATTTTAATCAAAGAACACTGTTTAAATAAAATTCTACTATGGATTTTAGCAGGTCAGGGCTGAGTGCAGAAAGCTTGCTAGAGCCCCTCAGATGGGCCTCTGATGAGTTCTATAGGGCCTTACGGTCTCGGAATTCAAAGCCTGGGTCCAAGTCCAGTGGGCAGACTGTGGGAGCAGGGGTGGGAGAGAAGCAATGAGGCACCTGGGAAGAGTAGGAAACCCAGAGTCTTCCCTGTCTCCTCACCCATTCTCTGTTGGGTCAGGAAGAACCCAATGCCCCACAGGCCTGCTGGAGTCCCAGCCAGAGTCCCTGGAGCATGTGGGTAGTGAGCCCAGGATATGGGATTGAGTGCCAGGGAATGAATAATTCCTGCTCTGGCCCTTCCCAGGTCACTGGAGCCGGCATATCTGGTGACAGACATCAATTGCAACAAGGTCATGACAGCAGAATGGAACCGGGTCTAGGCCCAGCTGGGCTTCCTCTTTGGTTACCTGGCAGGGCTCGCCCACTCTGGCTCCAGAGGAGGAGATTGAGGTTCACAGACTGTCAGCAACCTGGTCAGGGCTCCACAGTGACACTCCAGCCCCAGTGACTTGTGTCAAGCCAGGTATTGTCTGCTTTAGCCTGGCCCATGAAAACCTGGACCCGCCCCTCCCTGTGACAGCTCTCCTCCATCCATCTCCAAAAAGGCTGGGGAGAAACCCAGACAGGGAGCCCAGCCTGCCCAGCATCACACAGCAACGACAAGTGGGCTCAGCCACTCACCCGGCAGACAGACATTTGATTGGTGGTGAGTGTGCCTGTCTTGTCAGAGCAGATGACCGAGGTACAGCCCAGGGTCTCCACAGAGGGCAGGCTCCGCACGATGGCGTTCTTGCGTGCCATGCGTCTTGTGCCCAAAGCCAGGCATGTAGTGATGACAGCAGGGAGGCCCTCAGGGATGGCAGCCACAGCCAGGGCCACGGCGATCTTGAAGTAGTAGACGGCACCGCGTAGCCACGAGCCGCCGTGGGCTGGGTCGGCAAAGTGGTTGATGTTGATGACCCACACAGCTACGCAGATCACGGAAATGGCATGAGACAGCTGCCTCCCAAATTCATCCATCTTACGTTGCAACGGCGTCCGCTCTGGCTCCACCGCTGCCATCTGGCTGCGGATCTTGCCCAGCTCTGTGTGTAGGCCAGTGGCCACTGCCACACCCACTGCCTTGCCCGAGGCGATATTGGTGCCCTGGGCGAGGGAAGGATAAGGGAAGAGCTGCTCAGCACCTACTGGGGCCCAAGAACTCTGGTTCCTTCAGGCCAGAATAGGGCACTTAAACGTTTCCTTGGCTTTCCTTTTCTGTGTCTTTAGTGCTCTCAGACTTATGTAGCTATGTGTTTATTGGGTCATTGCTACCTTTCCATGACAGTGTCAGTTCTAGGAAGATAAGGATTTGGTTCATCACCATGTCACCAGGGCCTTGAAAAGGGCCTGGCACAGAAGCACCAGTGCTGATACTGACCATAAGATCAACCAGCACAGCACAGACACCAACCCATCAAAATGTGATTCACAAACAACTGCTAAAGCCACACTGGAGTGTGGTTGACCATGGACCTAGGAAAACAGCTATAAACATTCACTGAAATATCCAGAAAACCTGAGCCTTAGCTCATTTAGTTCCAAGACCCTGGTAAAATCCCCAAGTCCTGGTATGAAAGCACAGCTGGCCTTATGTCTCACTTTTACAAAGTGGTCCATCAGAGGCTCAAGCCACAGTTACTCCGAGGGGACTACAACTCAATGTCCTTTCAAATGGATGTGCTGGTGAGGCAGGCAAGAGGGCAGGCACTGGTGGCAGACCCTGCCTCTCTGCTTCTGCCCTGAGCAATGCAGCCCTGGCCTTCCACATGCAGAGATTAGCCAGATCACTCTCCTCAGAAGACTGCCTGGTGACAGATGCTGATGCTCGGGCATGCCTCCCAGAGCCTGCCTCCTCACCCAAAGCAGTTTACCCAGATTCTCCATGCAAACTAGGCAGCTCTGGGTAAATATCACTTTCTCCATTTCTCGTCACTTCCAGGAATTTCTCTAGCCCCTTACAATTTGGTGTCCTTGGCCTTTATTCAACTGGCCTGTCCCTTCTTTGTGTCCTCAAGCCTGGTGCTGGTTCAGCCTATTGCTGGGAAATGGGAGACTTTTTTTTTTTTTT